TAAAAAGTTAGTACTGGCACAAAATAAGAAGGAAACAAGTATCATGTTGTCACACAGGGAAAAGTTGGTACTGACACAAAATAAGAAGGAAACAAATATTGTGTTGTCACACTGGAAAACGTTGGTACTGGCACAAAATAAGAAGGAAACAAATATCGTGTTGTAACACTGTAAAAAGTTAGTACTGGCACAAAATAAGAAGGAAACAAATATCGTGTTGTAACACTGTAAAAAGTTAGTACTGACACAAAATAAGAAGGAAACAAATATCGTGTTGTAACACTGTAAAAAGTTAATACTGATACAAAATAAGAAGGAAACAAATATCGTGTTGTAACACTGTAAAAAGTTAGTACTGACACAAAATAAGAAGGAAACAAGTATCGTGTTGTAACATTGTAAAAAGTTAGTACTGACACAAAATAAGAAGGAAACAAATATCGTGTTGTAACATTGTAAAAAGTTAGTACTGACACAAAATAAGAAGGAAACAAATATCGCGTTGTAACATTGTAAAAAGTTAGTACTGGCACAAAATAAGAAGGAAACAAATATCGTGTTGTAACACTGTAAAAAGTTAGTACTGACACAACTTTTTACAATGTTACAACACGATATTTGTTTCCTTCTTATTTTGTGCCAGTACTTTTGTTTCCTTCTTATTTTTTTACAATGTTACAACACGATAATACTAGTATTGGCACATGTACATTTACTTTGGTTTTAATTCTTAATGGAGCTGGTCGGTTTTTCCAAACACCACTGCATCTATCATGGCTTCTAATATTTCAAACTTACTCAGCTGCTGTTTGCTATTCAAAAATTATTTCTTACTTGTTAAGTTTGTCACCTTTGTTTCAAGTTTGACTTAATTCGAGTTGTGAGTTCTGAAATAGATTAGATTATTGTAAGTTACTCCTTATGCCGCGTGATTGACACGAGTAACTTGATTCGTGTTTACAATTACAATATCAGCATTTTTTCTAGACATGAACAAGTGGGTTGTAATTTTTTTTTACACGAGCCTACAAATCCCTCACTCGAGATTGACGGCCCTAGATTTTCTCAGACAAAATTTACCTTTGGACTGATCTTCATTTTTAATTGCAAGATTCCAGTAACATTCCCATTCTTTACACGTTGTAAGATAAATACACTTTATAAGCGTTGATAAAAATACTTTGAATTATTGGTACGAGGTACACGTGTGGGGAAAATTCAAGAAATGTCATCTCATTGTAATGTTTTCCGAAAGAGTTAAATCATACTTGTTACTCATTAAACCGCAACTAGTAATAACGTACGGAGTGAATTATCGATAAGATCGAAGAAAGGCTATTCCTTGAGTTAATCGATTAGAGACGTGTTATTATCACGTATTAGCGATAAGAAAAGCTCGACATACATTTTTTAAATCGATCTTGAAAAGCCACTTTGAAGAGAGAGAGAGAGAGGCGCTCCTATTTCTAATCAATTGACAAAATAAAGACACTTCCAAATATGACAGAATTGCAAAACGTTACAACTAGTTTTAAGTGCTTCGAAAAATGGCAGTCGTACTTCTGAGAGAATGGAAAAATTTCATTTGAAGTTTGGATTAAATTTTAAAAACATGTGTCACTTCTCTATCATATCCACATGATAAAAGGTCGATTCTTCTTTTATATAACTAGGAAATTGTTTGTTTTCTTAATTATGCACAAAGCTACACAAGGGCTCTGCCCACCACGGGTATCGAAACCCGTTTTCTAGCGTTGTAAGTCCGCAGATATACCGCTGTGCCACTGTGGGGAGGGGAGCAACTGGGAAATATAACTTCTATTTCTAATCAATTAGATGAAAGTACCACTTATTTCTAATTGATTGGAATATATCACCTTTAGCTCTAACTGAGTGTGAAAAGGTCACTTGCATTTCTTATAGACCCTTAAAAGGGTGCGTCATGTCTCTTATTAGATAAAAGGGGTTATTTTGATAGGGTTGATAAAAAATAAGAGTAGAAGATTGTAACTCTAGCGCCTTAGCGATTAGAGTAAAAATCACTTCCACCTTTAATCAAGTGAGAAAATATCACACCTTTATTTTACCGAATAGAGAAAGTCAATCCTACCTCTAAAGACTGCAACATCGGCACCTTCTCCAAGAGTGTCTCGTATTCCTTTCTCTTTTTGAAGGCACTCTTCAGGACTATCTTTCTAAAGATTTGCCGACTCTAAAAATATTGTCAAATTGTAATAATCTATAAACACATATACTTCAACATGAAACAAATATCACTCCAATTTAATACCTGGAGTTTTGTTTGTTTTTATTCATTTGTCACGTAAACATTTGATGATATTTAACATTGTACAGTGTTAATATTTATATTATATTTCTGGCAATAGGTTCAAAGGCTACCGTATCTAATTTTTAATTACTGACCACAGGGAAGACAACCTATCTGCACCACCTTACCACCCACACCCACTCTTATAACGCACACACACTTTTAAAATGCTAGGAATAGTTTGTGCTAATGTATGGATTCGAACCCGGATCGCCATCTCCTAACTCTAAGCTCTACCACAGGGGCAACTTGTACGCTCAAAATTGTACAGAGATATTTCATTTGATGTATTTGTTTATTGTTAAAGGCGAAGCTATACAATGAACTATCTGTGCTGCGCCCACCATAGGTATCGAGCCCCATATCTTAGCGTCGTGAGTCCGTAAACATACCGCTAACACACCTGGGGAATTCAGTGTTTCGTTTTTTTCTACTTGTATTTATTTGTTTGAGTTTCACGCATAATTACTCGAGAGCTAACTGCGCTAATTGTCCCTATATTTGAAGTGACTGACCAGAGGAAAGACAGATAGTCGACACCACCACCCCCCGCAAACTCCGGAATTACTCTTTACCAACAAATATTGAGATTGACCGTCACATAACGCCCCCGAAGCTGAAAGCGCAAGCATGTTCGGTGACGAGATTCAATCTCGCAGCTCGTGAACTAGAACCCTAACCACCAGGCTATGCGCAGGTCTATTGGTAGCTAATTTTAGAATTTAGCTTGGCTTCTTGTTTACAAAACAACGTTATAAATAGCTCCATTATTACAACCCTTATCGGCAGCACAATAGTTTTTCCTGTTTCTTTATAGGTTAAAATAAAATTATTTCTATTTTCAACCCAAGTTTAAACCCACTCGAATCAAGAAAACAGCTTTAATTTCGTCATAAATTTAAATAGAAAAACGATAAACCTAAGAACAAATAATAAAGCGTTTGTATTTGAGTGGCCGTTCCATCTCTTGTCTTTAAGAATGATATTTTTTTTTTCCAAAAAGCTCTGAACCAAAACTGCATTTTTCATGTATTAAAAGGTATTTAGCTTTTTTAGAATGTTCATTCATGACACTTGATTTTTACAGGCACTATACCTTTAGCATAGTTTTTTTGTATATTGCTTCTGAAAATACGTTAATATATCTCAGACTAAATTAACACAAGCCACATGACGACTATTAACGTACATTAACACCACATCCCAAGTTCACAGCCTTTAAGTCAATTTGAAAGAAGGAAATGCAACAAAACCTCTTTTTTTCATAGCAGCAAATACATTTTGAAATTTTAAGAAATCATATTTCTTTTTAAAAACAACAACAAAAAACAGTATCACTTTTCTAGACTACATAATGAGCAGTAACATATTTCTGGTAGAATTTATTTCTGTTGTTTAAACTTATGGAAAGATTAATACTAGAGCTTTACGAAGT